ATGGGATATCAAAGAGATTGTCTGATGATTTCCGCATTCCGTTGGGTCACCTCTCTTTGGAATGGGCACAAATACAGATCTCTTCCAATCGGTTAGACAAGTCTCCCAAATTACTTGACACAGACAAGTGAGTGCCTCCAGTACTGGATCAGTTTGATGAAACATTTCGATTTGTATTCTGTCAATTCCTGGATCCCTGTTTTTCACCAATATCTTCAGTGCTGCTTGGACTTCTTCCTTCAATACCACTGGATCTTGATGAAATGAACATAGAGCAATTCTTTTTGGTACAGTGACTCTGTTTAGTCCTTCCACTTTCTGTATCATTCAATATTTTGCCCACAGAATCTTTCAATATCACAACAGAAGGCTTAAGGTTTTCTTCAGTTCTTTCAGCTTGAGAAATGCTAAGCATGTTCTTTCCTTTTGGTTTTCTAAAACCCATTTCACCATAATATGTGGTTTTGTCTTCTTGAGCTGCCCTTTGAAATTTTCTGTTCAGCTCTTTTACTTCCTCATTTCTTCCAATTGCTTTAACTTCTTCGTGGTCAAGAGCAAGTTTCAGAGTCTCTTTTGACAACAGTTTGGTCCTTTTTTCCCCTTTGTTGCTTTCTTCAAGTATGATGTTCTTAATGTTATTCTAGAGCTCTTCTGGTTTTTGATCATTAGTGTCTAATGCATCAAATCTGTTCTTGAGATGGTCTCTAAATTCAGCTGGAATATGTTCAAGGTCACATTTTGGCTTTTGTGGACTTGTTTCAATTTTTGTCAGCTTCAGCCTGAACTCACATATAAGCAGTTGATGGTCTATTCCACAATCTGCCCCTGGCCTTGTTTTGGCTGATGATACTGAGCTTCTCCATTGTCTCTTACCACAGATGTAGTCACTTCGATTCCTGTGTATTCCATCTGGTGAGGTCCATATGTACAGTTGTCTTTTATGTTGTTGAAAAAAAGGATTGTCAATGAATAAGTCATTATTAGGTACCATGGAGTCAGTTCCAACTCATAGAAACCTTATGCACAACAAACTAAACACTGTCTGGTCCTGTGCCATCCTCATAATTGTTGGTACCCTTAAGCTCATTGATGCTGCCACTATGCCAGTATATCTGGTTGGGGGGTCTTTCTCTTTTCATTGACCCTCCACTTTCCTGAGCATGAAGATTTTCTCCAGAGACTTCCTGATACTATGTTTGAATCTCTGTATGAGAGACGAAGTTTCACCATCCTGGCTTCTAAGGAGCATTCTGGCTGTATTTATTCTAACAGAGATTTGTTTGTTCTTCTGGCAGTTCATGGTAGGTCATTGGTCTTGCAATATTCTATCATGCAATCTCCAGCATCGTATTTACCACCGAGGCCATATTTTCCAATGGCTGATCCTTCCTCTTTATTTCTAATTTTTGCATCCCAATCACCAGTAATTATCAATGCATCTTGATTGCATATTTGATCAATAGCAGACTGAAGAAGTTGGTAGAATTGTTCAATTTCATTATTACTGGTCTTAGTGGTTGGTGTATAAATTTGAATAATAGTGGTATTAACTGGTCTTCCTTGTTGTTGTTAAGTACTATGACATCAGTTCTGACCCACAGCGACCCTGTAAGGGGTTTCTGAGGAACTGTTGGTGAGCTTGAACCACTGACCTTGGGGTTATCAATCTAGTGCTTATCCTACAGCCCCACACCAGGACTCCTGGTCTTCCTTGTAGGTGTATAGATATTATCCTATCACAAAGAGCATTTTACCTCAAGATTGATCTTGAAATGTTTTTCGTGATATATGTGACGCCATTCATCTTCAATTTGTCATGATTCAAAATAGCCAATACCAGTCCATTTCAACTTACTAATGCCTAATATCTTTATGCATTCCATTTCATTTTTGACAACTCCCAATTTTCCTAGATTCATACATCATACATTCCAGGCCCTGATAATTAATGGATGTTTGCAGCTGTTTGTTCTCATTTTGAGTTTTGCCCCATCAGCAAATGAAGGTCCTGAAGGATAACTTCATCCACATCATTAAGGTCAACTCTACTTTGAGGATACAGCTGTTCCCCAATTGCATTTTGACTGCTTTCCAACTTGAGGGGTTCATCTTCCAGCATCATATCTGACAATGTTCCATTGCTCTTCAAAAGATTTTCAGTGGCTAACAATTCAGAAGTGTTTAACTACCACAGTATGACAAACTGACAGACGAGTAGTGGTTTACCATAATAGTTAAAATAACAATACAGTAGCACCATATCTTCAAAATTCATAAGAGAAAACCCAAATTCAGAAAAGTTAAGTAACCTCTCCAGAAGTACACAGCTAGTAAGTACAGTGCCAAGCTGAGAGGAAGGCCTAGACACGACCCCTGTCCACATCACCTTCATTCTTGAAGCCCATTTACCTCATCCAACTCCAAAAGAAGGGATGACCCAGCAGTTTACTCAATTGACTCTTCAAGTTTTCTCCAGGGCAAAATAGGTGACGAATGAGATCCCTAGTTTCTTCATCTGGAGAATGCTGGATTACCTCTTCATTACTTTGATTCTCCAGTTCTTCAAAAGGAATGCCTCCCTTCTTTACCACATAGAGAACCAGCCGTCCCAGGGCCTGTAGAGAAGATATAAACCAAGCTACAGGTTCTTATGGAATTATCTCTCTATGCAGGTGAGTTTGGAGGATGTGGTACAGGTTATAAACCAAAGAAGGTGTGAGGAACCTCGAGGAGTCTGTAAACTTGCTAGGGAAAGAAGAAATGGGTTTGCACAAGGAGAACTCATCAAGGCAGTATATGTTAAGTTTTGATGGAGCAAAAGGTAGCTATATAGGCTATACTTATCAGGGCAGACTGCTGGAGGAAGAGGCATGTGCAGTGGGTCTTAAAGTATAAATAGAATTTAGAGTAACAAAGAAAAAGAAGAATGTTTTAAATGAGCAGAGTGCCCAGTGCCTTTCTGGGAAGCAGACCTTTAGCCAAAGGCTATATCAGGCAATGGATAATGGGTTCGGTTGAGGTCGGGATCTGTGGAGGTTACAGTGACAGTCCAGAGGTCAGGTAAGGAGCAGGGAGAAAACGTACAGAGGGAGGCCAGCCTGGAAACTCTCTGCACCAGTCAAGACACAGTCAGGGAAGGAGCTGACATCTAAAGCCACCGATTCAAAGCCTATAGAGGTAGGAAAGCCATCACATGAAGAGCACTTGCTCACTGGATTGAGAACTCAGCACCCTGAGGATTCTCCTCAAAGGAATGCCCTGGCAGGGCCTTGGTCTGCAGAGGACAACTGTCTCCTCTCAGGGGGTCACCCATTTATTTCAGGGTCTCAACTTTTCAGCCAAGCTTAGTCCCTTTCAGTGGTGTCCTGGTGTGGTGCTGTGGGTTCATGCACCAGACTGCAAAGCTGTTTGAACTGCAATGTCAGTGGTTCAAGGTCACCAACTGCTCCTTGGAAACCTGAGACAGGGTTGCTATGGGTCAGAATCGACTTGACAGCACTTAACAACAACAGTCCCTTTCAAGCTGGGGACTTACTCTATCCCTCCTAGGTGTTTTCAAAGGACACCTAGGCCCCTTTGGAGTTCACCACACAAGTCTGATGGGAATGGGATTAGAAACCTCATTTATTTTGTCCTTAGGCAAAAGATATCTCAATGGAGAAAAGCCTGGTATGGCATGCTCTATTTACTTAGTGGAAGAAGAACGAGATTCCAAAAGATACAGAAGGGGACCAGGCAACAGCCAACTGCACACAGCCCCAGCCTTCTCCTCTCCTCTCCACACTGAAAGCCTTACTTCTGGGAAGAGGTCCAGTGGAAAGCTGTCGTCTGCAAGCGAGTGAGAACAGTGAAGACAATGAGGAAAAACCCTGGATCTCCCAAGACATTAACAATTACTGTTATGATCGTTGTTCTAGGCTGCCATCGAATCAGTCCCCAACCCATAGGGACCCCATGCACAATGGAATGGGACAATGGTACGCCATAGCCTTTTCATTCATAGGGCTGGTTTTCAGCAGTAGAGCCCCAGATTTTTCTTCCTAGACCATTTAGTCTGGGAGCTCTGCTGAAAAATGGTCAATATCATAGCAACATATCAGCCTTCACTGACAGAGATGGAGGGGCTGCACATAAGGTGTATGGAACCGGAATGGAACCTGGGCTCCCTTAAGTTGTTGTTGTTATTTAGTGCTGTGGAATCATTTCCGACTCACAGTGACCCTGTATAGGGTTTCTGAGGAGTGGCTAAGTAGGTTTGAATCACCAACCTTGCAGTTAGCAGTCCAATACTTATCCTATGGCACCACACCAGGAGAGAATTCTACTTCTGAACCACTGTGATTCTCAAGAATTTCATGAGCAGAGGGTGTTTGTTTTTAACTTCCATTTATCAGCTTAAAAACATGAAAGAAAAGACTAATACTGCTGTTGCCAGAGTTGAAGTTTCCCTAATTTAACACACCTGAAGTCCCAAATGCTAAATTGTTAAAATTGGAGAACTACAAACATCCTTTCCTTGCTGGTTAACACAAGAATGCTATCTCATGGGTTGTAGGTATTAAGGTATAAGTAAGGAAGCAGAGAGATGAAAAAAGCAAAGTGGATTTTTTAATTACCTGTAGATCTCTCTCAATTTCCTGTGGATCTCCAGTCTGCTTGATGCTTTTATCAAAATCTGCCAGGCGAACATCATTCTTAGAATCTAAGGGAGAGTTTGCAGAGGTGCATTGAAAATCCTCATTCCCCAATTAAGTTAAATAAATTAGTTTTTTAAAAAAAAAAGTACAGTCTGTCATCTCTTTAAAAGGTAATAATAAAGCTTATATCTCTACTGTTATTTACTGAATATGCTGCCAAACAATTAGGTATCTACCAAGAGCAAGACTTACATTTTATTTTTCCCACTAGGAAGAGAGGGGAGGAAGGGATGGAAAGGGATGGGATAAATTAAACCAGCTCCCCATTCATGCAATCCCTAGGGGCAAACAGCATAGATTTACAGGGCTGGCAAGAATGAAGGTTACATCCTACAACTAAAGAAAAGCTCAACAATAAGAAGACTCCAAATCTGAGACCATTTAGCAGAGTATTCCACGTAAAGGAGCCAACCAGCCATAGCCTACTGTTCTACCTGAAACAAGCATCATGAATTAATTAACTCTGTGTTTATCAAAAGTCACTGCTTCCTTGTCCACTTCACGCCCACCTTAACATCTCCCTCCTTTGATGGAAGCCACTGAATCCTCAGATAGAGACAGTCATGGATGAAAAAGGTCTCTGGGGCAAGACAAAACAAGGGCAATTGAGTGATTTGTCCTCGTCAAGAGCCTTCTGGCTTCAATGATTCAGAGAAGAAAGACTCGGTAACCCCAGATAGGGTAGTGATTTCTAGAATATTTTTTATTCTGAACTTAGAACTGAAAGTTACGAGGGAACCTAGAATCCAACAAAAATGAATATATCAAATTAAAGAACAGGACTTCATCAAGGGGAAACAGTGGTGAACCAGAAGAACACAGTTCAAGCTCCATGAAATTTGGAGTCTCTAGGAGAGGATCATGACAAGCTATGGACAACATTGTGAAGTATGAGTATTCCAGGACACTTAATTGTACTTCTGAGGAATCTGTACCTGGACCAGGAAGCAGTTGTTCGAACAGAACATGGGAACACTGAACGTTTTAAAATTGGGAAAGGTGTGAGACAAGGTTGTGTTCTTTCACCATACTTATTCGACCTGTATGCTGAGCAAATAATACGAGAAGCTGGGTTCTATGAAGAAAATGTGGCATCAGGATTGGAGGAAGATTCATTTACAACCTGCGATATGCAGATGACACATCCTTGCTTGCTAAAAGTGAAGAGGACTTAAAACATTTACTGATGAAGATCAGAGAGCACAGCCTTTGGTATGGATTACATGTTAATGGCAAGAAAACAAAAATCCTCACCACTGGACCAATAAACAACATTCTTATCAACAGAGAAAAGAATGAAGTTGTCAAGGACTTCATTCTTCTTGGATCAACTGTCAACACTCGCAGAAGCAGCAGCCAAGAGATCAGAGGACGTATTGCCTTAGGCAAATCTGCTGCACAGGAACTTTTTAAAGTGTTGAAGAGCAGAGATGTCAGCTTGAGGACTAAGGTGCGCCTGACCCAGGCCATGGTATTTTCAATAACCTCATAAGGATGTGAAAGCTGGACAGTGAATAAGGAAGATCGTAGAAGAATTGATGCCTTTGAGTTATGGTGTTGGAGGAGAATTCTGAAAGCACCATGGGCTGCCAAAAGAACCAATAGATCTGTTTTGGAAGAAGTGCAGCCAGAATGCTCCTTAGAGGCCAAGATGGCTAAACTTCGTCTCTCATACTTTGGACATATTGTCAGAAGGGAACAGTCGCAGGAGAAGGATATCATGCTTGGTAAGACGGAGGGTCGGAAAAAAAGAGGATGACCCCCAATGAGATGGATTGGCCAGGTGGCAGCATTGATGGACTCAAATGTGGCAGCAGTAGAGAGGTTGGCTCAGGATCGGACATTGTTTCGTTCTGCTGTGCATGGGGTCACTATGAGTCAGTTCTGACTTGATGGCACCTGACAACAACAACAACAAGGAGAGGAGATAGATTTCAAATGAGTAATTCACAAATAAACATAAAGTTAATTGCAGTTTTGAAAATGCTAGCAAAAAGTGTAAAATGGTATGAAAATGTCTCACAGGAAAACCTGCACAGCTGTATGGGGAAGAGAAGTCTTCCTTAGGAAAGAAACACTTAGACTGAAAAAGAATAGAATATAAATTCGTGTTTGAATTGTAGAATACAGAGGAGAAAGAATCCCAGAAAAGAACCTGGAGAATTCCACTCTGGTGGAAAGAAGGCTCTTGAGGCTAGAGAAGAGAAGGAAGTAAGAGTGGCCTACAGTGAGGCTGAAGAGACAGATGGGGTTGAGATCAGGAATTCTTTACAGTTGATAGAACTGACCCCACGTGTATCCGAGTAGAATTGTACTCTACAAGGTTTCCAGTGGCTGATATTTGTAGGTAGATCACCAGGCCTTTCTTTGGGTGGGTGGGTGGGGGTAGGGAACTCAAGCCCCCATCCTTTGGATTAGCAACTAAAGGCATTAGCCATTTGTACCACCTAGGATGCCATTTAAACGGTAAAACTCCTCTAACTGTTTAAGACACTGATTTTTCTACCACTTGAATTTGAAAGTGCCTAGATGAAACATTTCACGTATCTTCTAACACTTTCTTTTTATACGCTATAAAAGTTTCTAAGGGCATATATTTTGGTTCTGTTCCTTTTAAATCAAGGAACTCTGGTAGCACAGTGGTTACGAAGGAAGCTCTGGTAGCGTAGTGGTTACGAATCGGGCTGCGAACCTTAAGGTCAGCGGTTCGAAACTACCACTGCTCCGCGGGAGAACGATGAGGCTTTCTACTCCCGTAAAGATTTACACCCTCGGAAACCCTGTACAGGGTCGCTATGGGTCGGAACCGACTCGATGGCACTTAACAACAACAGATGAAACATTTCATGTATCTTCTAACACTTTCTTTTTATATGCTATAAAAGTTTCTAAGGGCATATATTTTGGTTCTGTACCTTTTAAATCAAGGAACTCTGGTAGCACAGTGGTTACGAATTGGGCGGCTAATCTCAAGGTCAGTTTATTTGAGAAACTACCAGCAGTTCTTCAGAAGAAAGATGAGGCTTTCTGCTCCCGTAAAGCTTTACAGCCTCGGAAACCCTATGAAGGGTTGCTATGATGCGTAACTGATTCCACGGCATACCATCACCACCACCACACTATCACCACCACCTTAAATCAGAATGCTAGCAAACAGCTGATGGGCAAAACTGGCCAGCAGAAATTGTACCCACTATGCAACGATGACTGTAGAACCTCTACTCTATTCTGTTTTAGTCTGTTCTAATTTCTCACCCCATCCTTCATTGTCACCACAGTTATATCATCCAAGATTGTTAGTAATTTGTTTTTTGTTGGAAACTACACATTTAGATTACTTTAAAAAGAACACTTCCTGTCCTTATCATTGCTTCTTAGAAATCATTTTTTTCTCCCAGACTTTTTTTTTCCCCTCCTTCCTTACAAATATCCTCCAGCAATTCTTTCATAAAGAATTTGTGAGTTTTCTGAATGTGCGAATACTTTAGAAATACATTTCTTTTTAATCACATGTGAACAATAATTTTTCTGTTTAAAAGGTTCTTTCTCTTTGGCTCTTTCATCTAGATTGTTAATAAGAGAAGTCAGATATCAATCAGATTCTTGTTTCTATGTAGAAAATATGGATTTTATTTATTTGCAGTTGTTGAGTTTTTCTTTCTTCCTTGCTACTTTTAAATTCTTTTCTGCTATAACGCAATGCATAGTTCTCCTTATTTATCCTTCTTGGCTCTTAGTGAGTCTTTTTACATGAGGACTAATGTGTGTTTTTTTTTTGTTGTTGTTGTTAAGTGTCCTCCAGTTGTTCCGACTCATAGTAATCCTGTGAGTAGCTGGCGAGTTTGAACTGCCTATTTGTGGTTCAAACCACACTTACAGTCCAGTGCTTATCCTACAGCATCACACCAGGACTCAGCGTGTGTCCTTAGTTCTAGGAAATTCTCAGTTATTAATGATTTTTTAAATATTGCTTTTTCCCCATTCTCTTTTTTCCCTCTGGGATACCTATTGGTTAGATGTTGGAACTTCTGGATCTAGCCTTCACGACTAAATATAATTTTTTATACTTTTCATCTCTTTATGCCTTTCTGCTCTGTCCTAAGAGAGTTTCTCAAAATAATCTTCTAGTTCACGAATTTAATCTCTAATCCATTATTGAAGGGTCTTTTTAAAAATGTATTTTAAAAAATGTACTTTTTATTCATAAGCTCTCTGTCTTGTTCCTTTCAGAATGTTTATCCTTGTTTCATGAATAAAATAACCTTTGTTCTCTAGTTTTAGTAATTATATTTACTTTATATTTGTATTGCGGTATCTTGGTTAGCTGTTTCTTTGAGTATAAATTCTTTTGTTTGATGCATCTTTTTCATGGGTTAAGTAAGCACTTCCCAAATATACCAAAATATACCTGGGTGATGCAAGAGGTTGCTTGCTGCTAACCAAAATGTTGTTGTTGTTAAGTGCCATCAACTCGGTTCCAACTCATAGCAACCCTATATAGGGTTTCCGAGCAGCCACTAACGAGTTTGAACCACCGACCTTGCATTTCAAACCGACCTAGCAGTATAGCGCATTAACCCAAAAAATACCAAAGAATGATATTTGCAGCTGAGAATCCTTGATGCCCTCTCTGTTACTTCTGTTAATGCTACCCAACATAGGAAAGGGATGAAAGCAGTTTCCAGAACTTCTGCACTTTATTCGGTGAAAGTTGGGAGTAAGTAGGACATTTTACTTAGCAACGCACCTTAGCAGACAGTCTTCTAGGTTAACTTCTTTTTATCTTTCTTGGGCTCACCAACCACCCAGTGTCTCAGACAGTACCCCTACTTAGAAAGACAGCCCCATCATAGGTGCCTGGTCCTAGGAAAGAGGGATTGCACAGGGTTTGGCCTGTCTCATTTCTAATGATATAGCAATTCTCAAATTCCTGGGTGGTGCAAGAGGTTGCTTGCTGCTAACCAAAACGTTGTTGTTGTTAAGTGCCATCAAGTTGGTTCCGACTCATAGCAACCCTATATAGGGTTTCCAAGCAGCCGCTGATGAGTTTAAACCACCAACCTTGCAGTTCAAACTGACCTAGCAGTACAGCGCATTAACCCACAGCTTCACACCAGAACTCCAAAACGTTAGCAATTCTAATCTACCCAGTGGTACCTCAAAAGAAATGCTTGGCAATCTATTTCTGACAAGTCACAGCCATCAAAATCCTTAGGGAGTGCAGTCTTACTCTGAAGCACATGAGGTCACCATGAGAAAGAACTAATGCTTTCTCAGCTGCTTTGTTTGTTTGTATAGCAATCCTTAGGTAGCCCTTTGTCTTCTCCTGCCTACCATTATTTCTGGGAGTGGCGTTCTTTTACATTGTTCCTTTTTTTTTTTTTTTTAATACTAATATTTATCTGTGGCTTCCTGTCTTTGTCCTAGACTCCTGTGTCCTTCTTCAACCCCATCCTGTCCATATAGTCTCTGTACGGTTCGTCAAAGATTTCCGTCCTATAAACATCCCTCTTTTGTTTTGAACTCAGCTACAAATTCACTTTAAAATCTTTTGTTGTTTTTCCACTATCATTTCAATGGTTCGTTGTAGGGTACAGTCTAAGGCGTGTGTTAAGTTCACCACTTTGAGGTAGGTGGTGATGGTTATGTGCCGTGGAGTTGGTTCCGTCTCATAGCGACCCTGTACAGGGTTTCCGAGGCTGTAAATCATTACGGGAGCAGAAAGCCTCATCTTTCTCCTGTGGAAAGCTGGTAGTTACAAACTGCTGGCCTTGAGGTTCGCAGCCCAATTTGTAACCACCACGCTACCAGAGTACAGTCAATTCTGTATTCAAGTTTAAGAATGGAAGAGATGGTGCTGGAAATTCTAAAGAAAAGGGATACTGCACAAGTCATTACTCTTTGTTGTTGTTAAGTGCCATCAAGTCGTTTCTGATTCATAGCTACCATGTATAGTGTCTCTAAGGTGTGGCCATTGAGTTTGAACTGCCAACCTTGTGGCTAGTAATCCAGTGCTTCTCCTATGGCACATACAAGTCATTTCTTATTAGACTATGTGATATGATATGCTCACATCAAGGTCAGCAGTAGGAACTGGGAAGAACCTCATCTTTGCCTGAGTCTTAAAGCCTCTATCTCACTGGAGAGCTGCGCACACCTTTGTCCCTTTCTCAGTCCCCCAGAAAAGCAGCTGAAAACTAAGCCTATCACCAGAGTGTCCTCAAACTATATACTGGATACTAATTGTATTTTCAAAATCTTTTTATTGTGAATTAAGTGAAGGTTTACAAAGCAGATCACCAGTCCCACATTCCACGAGTCATACATGTTGTTTCATAGCTCTGGTACCATAGTGGTTACGAATTGGGCTGCTAACCTCAAGGTCAGCAGTTCCAAACTACAAGCTGTTCCACAGGAGAAAGATGAGGCTTTCTGCTCCCGTAAAGATTTACAGCCTAGGAAACCCTGTACAGGGTCACTATGAGTCGGAACCAACTCCACGGCACATAACCACCACCAACCACCAAGTACCATCAGTTAGCAGCATTTGCCGCTATTCACTTTAACTCTTGCACTCCTCCTCGTCTCTTCTGCTACCTTCATCTTTCCTGTGCCAACCTCCCTCTTGTATATTGTCATCTCCAACAACCAAGTTAACATGTGTCTACTCTCAATCCATTGAATAATTTACCTTTCCCTCCTACCCCTGACTAGCTGTAATCTTAAGGAGCCCTGGTAAGACACATTGGCCAAACGTTTGGCTGCTAATCAAAGGTCAGCAGTTTGAGTTCATCGGCTGCTCTCTAGCAGAAAATATCTGATGATCTGCTCTCATAAAAATTTCAGCCTAGGAAACTCCATGGAGCAGTTCTACTCTGTCATATAGAGTTGTTATGAGTTGAAGTCAAGTTGACCACACATAACACACGTATTCTTATATCCACTTATCTCTTCCAGGCCTTTAAATACTCATCGCTGCCTCTCAATATCTGAATCCTCTTGATTCCCTGTTCCCTTCCATCAAGTTTAAATCTCAATACATATCTAATATGCTAAGTATCTGCTTCTGCTTAGACCTCTAAACAAACATCAGACTTCTGCTGGTCATCTATGGTGTACCAGGTGACTTGTCTACTTATGATGTTGCATTAAGACCTCGAAACAGGCTTTTGAAGATATGTTGTTGTTGTTGTTGTTGTTATTGTTGGGTGCCATCAAGTCTTCTCACAGCAAACAACACATAGTACATAGTAAAACTGCTCCCATAGGATTTCCAAAATTGTAATCTTAAAGGAGCATATGACGAGGGATTTTCTTCTGCAGAGCCACTGGGTGGGTTTGAACTACCAACCTTTTGGTTAACAGCTGAGCACATAAGCATTGCACCACCAGGATTCCTTGAAGCATTACTAGTCCCAAATGGTTTAAGTGATTTATTTGATGTTAGAAAGTGGCAGTATTGGGCATCAAACCTCCATTGTTGTTGTTGTTAAGTGTCGTCGAGTCAGTTCCGACCCACAGCAACCCTGTATAGGGATTCCAAGGAGTGACTGGTGAGCTTGAACTACTGACCTTGCAGTTTTAACAGCTTTGCAGTCTAGTGCATTAACCCACAGCATCATACCAGGACTCCGGAAGTACTGCTAAATCCCACTCTTTCTACTGTACCTGATTGCCTCCTGGGGCTTTGCACTCAGCTCTGCCTGTTTCCTTTAATGTTGTTTTTATTAATCTTGCATTTGTCTTACACCAGTATATGTAGACTTGCCCTGCCTGCTTGGAATCTGCATCTTGCCTTCACACCTCCCAATTCTGACCTCAGTTATACCACTGAGCTTCACAAAAAGAACTCACCTTCAGAATTTGCTACTTTGCAGACAACTCCAGGAATTTAAATTTCTGGAGCATGCTACATTCACAGCACACCCTCAAATTTTTATTTTGCTAAGGATAATATAAGGTGAGCCTGGCACTCTTCTGGAATCCACTGACCTCCATGTGGGCTTTGGCAAAGCACTTATAACTGGTAGTCACATATAACTAAACTTATGAAGTTGTTGTGCTCATGAGGAACTTGTACACATACCAACAGGTAGTTTAAACAGGACAAGAAGATATTGAATGGTTTGACATCAGGAAAGATGTGTGCCAGGGTTGTATTTTTTCACCATACTTATTCAATCTGTATGTTGAGCAAATAATCCAAGAAGCTATATTAAATATAAAAGAATGTGGCATCAGGTTTGGAGAAAGGCTCATTAACAACCTGCAATTTGCAGATGATACAACATTGTTTGCTGAAAGTGAAGAAGACTTTAAATACTTACTGATGAAGAACAAAGACCACAGCCTTCAGTATTGATTGTACCTCAATGTAAAGAAAACAAAAATCCTCACAACTGGACCAATAAAGAAACATCATAATAAATGGAGAAAAGATTGAAGTCGTCAAAGACTTTATTTTGCTTGGATCTACACTCAACACTCATGGAAGCAGCAGTCAAGAAATCAAACGATGAATAGTATTAGGTAAATTTGATGCACAAGACCTCTTTAAAGTGCTCAAGAATAAGGATATCAGTGAAAGGTGGACAGTGAGCAAGGAAGACCATAGAAGAATTGATGCATTAAATTATGGTGTTGGAGAAGAATATTAAAAGTACCATGAACTACCAGAAGAACAAACAAATCTCTGTAGGATGAAGTACAGCCAGAATGTTCCTTAAAAGCCAGGATGATGAGACTTTGTCTCTAGTACTTCAGATATATTATCAGGAGGCACTAGCCCCTGGAGAAAGACATCATGCATGGCAAAGTAGACGGTCATTGGAAAAAAGGAAGATTCCCCTAATGAGAAGGATTGGTACAGTGGCAGCAGCAATGGGCTTAAAAGTAACAGAAATTGTGAGGATGGTGCAGAATTGGGCAGTGTTTCATTCTGTTATGCATAGGGTTGCTAAGAGTCAGAGCAGACTCAATGGCACCTAAAACACAACATGAAGTTGTTGCAATAAATAATCCATATGTGAAATTTTACTTTTAGCCCTTTCCTAATTGCAATGGAAAATATCTCTTTTGTAAACAAATACCCCACAGCGTCTAAGGGAGAATCTGGTATCAGGGACTCACCTAGTAAGATGTTTTGTGGGTGCAGATCCTGGTGAGTGTACACCAGGTGCAGTTCTTCAAGAGCCTTAAAAATAGATCGCAGGGTATTCCGGGCAAACTCATCTTCCTCGTCTTCCTTGTTATCGGCAGCTTCTTTCACTCTCTGCATGGCAAAGTGCTCCTGTAGAGTTCGCTCACAGAGGGCAAGGCACACGTACAAACAGCCCCCTTGGCTCTGGCTCCCACAAAAGGTCACCAAGTGACTGTTCATTCGGCTGTCTTTCAGACAGTTGAGCTCTTTCTGTGCCTGGTCGCTGTTTTCACGGAATCGCTTCACAGCTACCTCTTGTTCCTCGTAAAATCCCAAGTAGACACCTCCTTCAGAAGTGTTAGCAATTTTATATTCTTCAACAATAAAGATCTTGAGTTTGCCAATCATTGGACGGTATATTCTGTGGAGTTTCTTCATGGCCACCCTCCAACGTGAAGTCTGAGGTTCCCAGTCATCAGTAGGAAGGGGGTAATACTCTTTAGCTCCTTGACTAAGAAGAAACTCTGCAAGGGAACTGTCGTGATTCCGCAAAGCTGTCATAACAAGATCCCCACAATCCACGCTGGCACCGCGGGCACACAGCAAGCGGGCAATTTCTTCCAGTCCCAATTGGACAGCAATTAGTAGTGCTGTCTTGCCTTCGCTGTCTGTGTCATTAATTTCTATATGTTTTTGATCCAGAAGCATGTTCACCAAACTCAGCTCCTTCATTTCCACTGCCAGAATCAAGGGTGTTTTCCTTCCTTCTCCCCTGACTTTTACATCTGCTCCATGGTCCAGGAGAAGACGAGTGATGGTCTTACTAGTGATAGCCTTCACCTTCCCATCACGAAAGCTCAGAAGCGCATGGATCAAGGCATTTCTGCCCATATTGTCACAGGCATTAACATCTGCCCCTAGCTCATCAAGGAGGGTCATCAAGGCATCTACATGGCCTTTTTCTGCAGCATCCATGAGAGCTGTGGCCCCTCCTTTACCAAGCTTCTTTTGATCCTCCTTTGTCTTTCGACGCATATTCACTTCTGCACCTCTCTCATGCAGGAATCTTAAGGCTTCTATTTTACCATAAGCAGCAGCTTCCATGAAAGCTGTGAAGCCATTATAATCACACTCATTGACATCTGATCCTTTAGAAAGAAAACACTGGAGCAGATTCACATTTCCTACAATCCCAGCAAGGATGAAGGGAGTGGCGCCATTGTTCTTTCTCATACAAGGCTCAGCACCATGAAGAAGCAGAAGATCTACAATGTCCTCCCTGCGGTTCTGTACAGCATTATGCAACGGCGTCCATCCCCCTTCCACCTGGAAATTAACATCAGCTCCCTTTTCCAGCAGTTGCTTGACCTTCTCCACATCTCCTTTTCGAATAGCTGTGATCATTTGACAATGATCATTTTCCACTGCAGTCCTCGCACTGCTGGAAGGTGAGAGAGTCTCCTGAGGGATATTATGACTCTTTCTCTCCATGATGACAAATGCCACTGACTACAACTTTTTGCCTTTTCATTCAGATATTAAATATATACCTTCTTTGGACTTGATGAAAGAGGTATGGAGAATTTAGAATTTAGAGTAAATAGAGACTCTCTTACCAAAGACAGCATTTTGGGGGGAACAAAGCTCTCTGAAGATCGGACATTCCACCTGGGTACAAAAGAGATACTTTATCACTTTAGAAGGTGGAAAAGCATTTAAATTTTACTAGCAACATTTTCAGAACACATTTACTAATTCACTATACCAAAACCAAAAAATAACCACTACCATAGAGTCAATTCTGGCTCACAGTGACCCAATAGGGCAGTGTAGAACTGGTCTACAGAATTTCCCAGATTGTGATCTTTACTACAGCAGATAGTCTCATCTTTGTCCTATAGAGCAGCTGGTGGTTTCAAACAACTGACCTCTAGGTTAACAATCCAACACTGTGCTATTGCTACTGTTGTTGTGATTAAGTGCTGTCAAGTCAGTCCCCAATTCAGCAATCCTGTATAGGGTTTCCAGCCTCGGAAACCTTATGCAGGATCACAATGAGTCGGAACAGACTCGAGGTCACTTAACAACAGTAAAAATTCTTGCAGGAGCAGAAAGCCTAATCTTTCTCCCTCGGACCTTGTGGTTCACAGTCCAGTGCTTATCCTCTAGAGCCACCACACTCTTCCTATTCACCAAATAGTTACTTTTATAATAGAATACTTTGAATATTGTTGTTGTTGTTGTTATTAGGTGCCATTGAGTTGGTACCGACTCATAGCAGATCGAAACACTGAAGTTGGTCCTGGGCCAACCTCACAATTGTTGCCATGCCTGAGCCTATCACTGCTGCCACTGTGCCAATCCATCTCATTGAGGCTCTTCCTCTTTTTCTCTGACTCTCCATTTTACTAAACATGATATCCTTCTCCAGTGCCTGGTCCCTCCTGATAATATATCTGAAATATGAGCACTATGACTGCACTTCTTCCAACACAGATTTGTTTGGTCTTCTGGCAGTCCATGGTATTTTTAATATTCTTCTCCAATGTCATAATTCAAATGCATCAATTCTTCTACAGTCTTCCTTATTCACTGTCAAACTTTCTCATGCATAAGATTAGGTTTCCACTTGTAAAACTGACTTGAACCTCTGGAAGGACTCTGTCAAATATGTTTTCAGCTGTTTCTGTATTACCTTTAGTAAACCTTTACTCACATGGGATATCAATGATCTTGTCGGATGATTTCTACATTCTATTGGATCACCTCTCTTTGGAATGGACACAAATACGAACATATTCCAGTTAGTTGGCCAGGTAGTTGTCTTCCAAATTGCTTGGCATAGATAAGTGAGTGCCTCCAGTGACGCCTCACTTTGTTGAAAGATTTCAATTTGTATTACATCAGTTCCCCGTGCCTTCAATGTACCTTGGACTTCTTCCTTCAGTATCATTGGCTCTTGATCATATGCTACCTCTTGAAATGGTTGGACACCAACTATTTCTTTCTGGTACAATGATTCTGTGTATTCCATCCATTTTCTTGTGATGTTTTCTGCATCATTCAATACTTTGCCCAGAGAATCCTTCAATACTGTAAGCCAAGGCTTGAATTTTTTTTTTTTTTTTTTTTTTTTTTTTTTCAGTTCCTTCAGTTTGAGAAATGCTAAGCGTGTTCTTCCCTTTTGGTTTTCTAACACCAGGTCTTTGCACATTTCATTATAATATTTGACTTTGTCTTCTTGAGCTGACTTTTAAAACTTTCTGTTTTACTTCCTCACTTCTTCTATTTGCTTTAGCATCTCTATGCTGGATAGCAAGTTTCAGAGTCTCTTCTAACATCCATTTTGGTCTTTCCTTTTTTCTTGTCTTCTTAATGACTTTTGCTTTCTTCCTGTATGATGTTCTTGATGGCATCCCACAATTCATCTGGTCTTCAGTCTTTAGTGTCTAATGCATCAAATCTATTCTTCAGATGATCTCTAAATTCAGGTGGGATATATTCAAGGTCATATTTTGGCTCTCGTGGATTTATCTTAATTTTCTTCAGCTTAAGCCTGAATTTGCATATGAGCAATTGACGGTCTGTTCCACAGTTTGCCCTGGCCTTGTTTTGGCTAATGATATGGAGCTTTTCCACCATCTCTTTCCACAGATGTAGTCAATTTGATTTCTGTGTATTCTATCTGGTGAGGTGCATGTGTATAGTCATCTTTTATGTTGTTTAAAAAAGGTATTTGCAATGAAGAAGTCACTGGTCTTGAAAAATTCTTGCAAAATTCCATCATGCCATCTCCAGCATCATTTCTATCACCAAGGCCATATTTTCCACCTACCGATCCTTCCTCTTTGTTTCCAATCTTTGCATTCCAATCAGCAGCAATTATCAAACCATCAAGATTGCATGCTTAATCAATTTCAGACTAAAGAAGTTGGTTGTTGTTATTATTAAATGTCATCGAGTCAGTTCTGACTCATAGCAACCCTGTATAAGGTTTCTGAGGAGCAGCTGGTGAGTTTGAACTGCCATGTTTCTGATTCAAACAAGCTTGCAATGTAACTCATTAACCTATAATGCCACACCAGGACTCAGAAGAAGTTGGTAGAATTCTTCAGTTTCATCATCACTGGCTTTAGTGGTTGGTACATACGTTTGAGAAATAATGGTATGTATTGGTCTTCCTTGCAGGCATATGGATATTAACATATCACAGACAGCACTGTACTTCATGACTGATCTTGGCATGTTCTTTTTGATGATGAATGCCATTCCTGGCATAATGAACCATTTGATTTAAGCCAGATTCAAAATGGCCAATACCAGTCCTTTTCAGCTTCCTAATGCTAGGATATCAATGTTTATGCATTCCATTTCATTTTTTACAATTTCCATTTTTTCTAGATTCATACTTTATACATTTCATGTTCCAATTATAAATGCATGCTTACAGCTTTTTCTCTTCATTTTGAGTTAGTTGGCCCCATCAGCAAATGAAGATCCCAAGGGCTCTACTCCAATCACATCATCACGGTCAATTCTACTTTGAGGAAGCAGCTCTTCACAAGTTGCATTTTGAGCGCCTTCCAACCTGAGAGACTCGTCTTATGGCACTGTATCTAAGAATATTCTGGTGCTCTACATCATGTTTCAATATTCAATATTCTGGTGTTGTTCCATGTGTTTCAATATTCAATATTCTGGTGATGTTCCATAGTGTTCCATGCTATTCATAAGGTTTTCAGTGACTAAATATTTGGAAGTAGTTCATTTCTCCTTCTTTCTGGTCTGTCTTTGTCTGGAAGCTCAGCTGAAACCTGTCCACCATGGGTGACCCTGCTGGTATTTATAATACCAGTGATATAGCTTCCAGAATACAATACCACTGTATAATAAACTGACAGACGAACGGTAGACTTTGAATATATATATTAAAATTAACAATATCTGTGCCTGGGCATGGACTAGAGTATAATTTTATTTTCTTATTTTTAATATATATAAAATCATACTCTAGTCCAACTGCCTAGGCACAGATATTGTTAATATTTTAGTAATTTTCTAGTTTCTTTTAATAGCTGGGATCATGCTGTATAAATAATTTTGTATCCTGCATCCTTCCGTTTAATATCTTAATATAAATAATTTCCTATGTTACTATCACATCTTTCAAAGTATTATTTTTAAAATGTTTTATTGTGAATTAGGTGAAGGTTTTCTTTTAAAGCATTTTTAATGGCTGTGTAATATTCTAGCAAAAAGTTGTTTCATTTCTCTATTACTGTAGGCCTTAAAAATAACTTTTAAAGTAGTTCTTTGTTGATGTTGTTTTAATTTAAGCTAGTCTAGATAATGTTGTAGGAAATATTTTTTGGTATATGAAGTAAATTTATTTATGTTTTGTGTGTGCTTATTTCAAAGAATTGAATGGTTACTCAAAATATATGATTGTTTTTCAGGTTCTGAGCCAATAGTAATAAATATCTTTCAATGCCTTATAAACATACTTTTGTCAGGAATTAAAGAAACAAAAACAGTTGGGGTGGAGTGATTCTGAGTTACAGCAGTCCCATGTATGTTGTTGTTGTTAAGTGCCGCTGAGTCGGTTCTAACTCCTAGCAACCCTGTATAGGGTTTCTGAGGAGCAACTGGTGAGCTTGAACCACCGACCTTGCAGTTCAAACTGATCCTGCAATCCAGTGCTTATCCTACAGTGCCAAATCAGAACTCCAAAAAGGATAAGAAGTGATTTGGGAACAAAGGGCTGATCTGGGATTTGAACCCCGGAACTCTCAAATCCTAAGCAAGAATTATACCTCAAGAAGCCACATAACAAGCCCATATGTATTAGAGTGGAGTTTTTGAGAGGGAGGAGGGGAAGTGGCATGGGCAAGCTAGAGACACCAGGAGCCAGCTCACAATGTGCTCAGGGTAAGGGCACAGAGCCAGTGCCACTGAAGGTATTGGAGACTCTTGTTAGCTGTGTGATCATCAATAAATCACTTAGCCTTTCTGAGAACCAAAACAGTATAGGACTGTTTCAACCTGACACCTGGGAGATGTATGGTTCAAAGAAGAATTGTTCTATATTTCTCACATGTACTTACTATGTTCAGGCCACACCACTGATTCTGAGACCACTCTGTATGTGAAAGGGGAAGCTAGGCTGGGAACAAGCCTTGAGGATGGTCTTCCTGGGTTGAGGGGGTCTGTAGGCACCAACTGTAGTCCTAGGAAGTCCATTGTCCCATCTTTTCTCTGTCACTCATGGGTTAACTAGTGGCCACTGAGTCAATTCTGATTCACAATGACTCCATGTGTGTTGGGGTACAACTGTGCTCCAGGAGATTTCATTGGATGGATTTTCAAAAGTAGATCACCAGGAGTCTCTTCCTAGGCACCTCTGGTCAGATTCATTGTTTATGCCACTAAAGGGACTCTCTTACCAGAAGTAGATAAAAATATTTTTAAAAACCAAAAAAATTCATTTAAGA